CAGCGGGCAGTGCTGGGAGGCGGGGCAGCCGGCAGCAGCGGGTAGGCAGGCCGGCAAAAGGCAATTGTAAATGTGGGTAGGCCCGAATTTTGTTCATGTGACTGTAGGGGTGCTGCAATGGCCAGAACTTCAAAGTCCGGTCGTAAGTCCCTTTGTTCAGCGCCGTTGTAACTTCGATTGCTGAATGGACGTTAAGTGAGGACTACCTGTACTTATTTCCAGAACACCAACAGCTTTAAAAAAACTCTGGCCCAATACTGCAGCAATGATAATCTGTCCATAAATGATCAAAAAGCCAAGATTATGGCATTTGCCAAGAGGCTGAGGCTCTGCTCGTGGAGCATTAATGGTCACGAGACAGAACAGGTGACCTGCTTCAGTTAGTAGTTATGCATGCCACTAGTTCAAGAAAGCTCACTGTGAATACTGTATACCGCTGCCACTGGGCAAAGATCTGCCAACCCCATTCTTGAATTTTTTTCGCTCCAAGGGGAGAATGGGAATATAATGAACATAATGAACTCCTGGAGGAAACCTGGGATGTACAACCAACACAAAAATAAGTAAACAAGAACATTAATAGTCAAGGCAAGTACTCAGTATTCAGAACACATTTTGGTGGCCCACATGTCACAGAATACCTTGCCACCTAGGATCTGATCTCCCCCCCCCCGCCAAAAAAAATCTTTAAAAGCAGCATTGTTCTGCAAACTTTTGGTGCATGTGATCAACCTGTGCTGCTTTGGTGGGTTGTTAAATTTGCTTTGATTCTCTATTTTTTTCCTTGTCATTGTATGTAAGTGATGGAACAGATAATAAGTAAGTAAGATTTGAAGCTAACTCCTGGAGTGGAGGGAGAGAAAAAACGAGGCGAGGAAGGGGGATCTCGATTTTTCCCTCCTCCCGCCTCTCCGTTGTTTGCTCCCCGCTTCCCCGTCCTGCAGAGCACCGCAGTGAAGCTGAGGCGGGCGATCGCCCCCCTTTCCCCGACTGCCAGGAACCGGCCCCCCGACCCTTCCTGCGGCACTACCAGGCGGACAAGTCGCTAGTCCGGCTTGCCTCTGCTCCCATCACGTGAGCAGAAGCCGCCGCGGCCGTCGCCAACTTGCCTCCCACCAGACGCAGTATGAGGAAGTCGGCGAGAGGCGCCCTTGCCCCCGTTCCCCAGCGCGCGGCACGGGCGGAGGGAAGCGAGTACGTGAGCGCGGCGCTGCGCGGGGAAGCGCTTTGCTTTCTTCCCCAGTGGCTTGGCGGGAGGGGCCGGGCTGGCGCGGGTTGCCTGAGGCGAGCGGGGGGGGCGGGGGGGGCGCAGGCTCTTCCCCCCCCGGGG